ATCGTCCTCCATCTCTGAAAGTTAGATTTTTGTTAACATATTAAAAGTAAGTCCATCAATTTTCACCTTACATCATTAATTCAAAGCAAACGTGACTTTAGTAAAACAAGTAAATCAATAATCTGTTTTGTTCTATGTTTCAAATTGAATAATGTATTTTCGCTACTTTCATCATTAAAAATTTTTTATTCTTTCTAACTTCAATTTACCTTTTCCACTTTTTATTTTAATATATTAGTAAAAGGTCATTTATTCTTGTTTTAAAAACTTTCAATAGTTTACGTTTTCTGCAATTTAAAAGTTAAATGTGAAAAAATGCTGCTAATGAATTTACGGTAAACGGTGAGCAGATTTAGTGATATTCAAATAATTCCATTTCCCGGTCAAAAATCTTTTGAGTAATGAAATTTAAAAAATTTAAAGACGTCATGTCACTTTATTGTGTTAGTTTTTTAACTTGAGAAAAATGTTATTCAAACCATTCAGGAAAAAAAAAGCACTTTATTATCGATCGGAAACACATGGAAACGTCACATTTATATGAAAGTTGCCAAACAAACCTAGCACAATAAGTGACGTAATGTCAGTTCTTATTTAAATTTATTAGTGTGATATTTCATAAATATACGATTTCCAAGCTATCAAATTTTCATTGCAATGCTTACTCTGAAACAAGTAACATCACGCAAACAGTACACCTGGCTCTTTAGCGCTTTTCATGGTGCACTATAGCGAACCACGAGATATTACTTTCCATTTCTAATTTTATTTAACAACATAACTTCAGGTTCGATTTTTGGCAGCAAAGATGAAAAAAACCTTAAAATAGAAATGCTTATAATAAATGTTAGTACTGGCTATTCTATACGAGCTGAAATTTTATCCTGACAACAGAATGATAAAATATTAAATTTGCAATACTTTTCTGATATTTTGTCCTTTTTTGTTAAAATAAAATTATCATGTCACCTAGGTACTAACATTCAGTCATAGTGACTTTTTTTCGTATCATTATTTGTTCATTTTCTCTCCATGTGAATGGAAATAAAATAGGAAAATTCGCGAATAATAAGTTATTTCTTATCCATGTTAAAGTGTATAATTCTTAAAAACCACATCTGGTCCTGCTTCATACCAAATTTTCCTGAAAACAACTATTGATCATCCCTGTAGGAAAACATCATTTTGAAATAAGCTGTCAAAAAAGAAATGGAATTTTCACTATATAATCGACTAAACATTAAACAAATAAAGACTTAACAAGTGAAGTTAACAAAATTTTATCATTAGTTGTTTTATAATATTATATCAAAAATTTGAAATTAACTGTGAATTATATCATAAAACAACAAGAAACGGTGTTTTGCACTGACACATCAATCATCAGTACTCGAATAACACTGGACTAATGAAAACAAAAAATAACGGTGATTAGAACAAATAAAAATGCAAAAGGTAATAAAATTAGCTGAATTATTAATGCTATATTCCTAACATCAATGTAATGTACTGGTAATAGTGTCATGGCTTTGAAAAATTTGTAAGTGGAAAAGTGAAGAGATGAATTTCGTATATACATATATATTTGACAACATAAAAAGAAATAGATATAAATAAAAGTGTAAAAATAGTTAATAAATAAGAGAATACGAATCAGTAAATAAATAAATATGAATCAATAATGAATAAGATAAATATTAGCAAGAATACAGCAGTAACACCAATAATAACAATGATGATAACGATAATATTAATAATATATTACCGAGAGCAATATGAATGATTACAGCAATTGTAACCGGAATGCAGAAAAACAGTGGTAATAATAACACTAATGAAGAATGAATGAGTGAACTTCGATAAAGTTAACAAACTGAAAAAATGATTTCCTGGCTATATGAGGCAAAGCTGAAGGCTAAGAGGGTGAATGAGAGTTTTCCGTTGATTTGTTGAGAGTGAGAAGAATAGAAAAAGAACAGTTAAAAGGAAAAAACAAAAGTTGAGAAAAGGAAAAGATGATGTGACGAACAGTAGGAAGTCATTTACACAAAGTACAAAGTGAGTGAATATATGTTCAGTTCCATTCATAAGAATATTGAGTGTTATGTTGGGTTGTAGAGTGAAGAGACTTTCGTCGTCCTTAAAGTAAGAAGTGCTTGAAAAAATTAAAAAACAGCCAGCAGGTTTTGTTGAAAAAAGGCATGTAACGCTGGAGGTCGATATGAAAGCAAGAGCGATAGTTAATTTAGGCAAAGCCGGTAGTGATGATAGCACAGGTAAAAGCTGGGATGAAAATACAGGAAAGTAGAATGGTGATTAAAAATCAGACAATAAAATCGTAGTGTATTTGAATGAACAACCGTTGAAGAACTTGGGCAGGAAGCAAGTGAATGAGGAGCAACAGCTAACTTGTCAGACTCCATTCCATCTTCGAATGCACTTCAACCTTTTTGCTGGCCCTACCCAAAGTTCAGCAACTAGGATTCAAATTTAAGACATAGAATCACCCACATGTTTTTTGCTTCCCTGCTTCTAGATATGAAAATCACTGGCAATACTTGCTGTACTCATTTTCAACATTCACAACAAATGTCAGTCAAACAGGTTTCTTCACAAATAAGTAAAAGCAAAATTATTTCTTTTCCAACTTTCAAAGCACAAAAAAATCACTTAAAATGGAACATTTCTATGCACGACTGCTTCAAATTCGTAAGCCAAATTGTAACGGTATAAAAAGCAACGAGTTCGACTTTTCTAACTTTACCATTTGAAGGTTTTCGAAGGAAGAAAAGTAGATTGATGCAGTTCTCGAATACAAAATAATTAACCTTAGGTAGCATAGCTGAAAGAAGAGGGTCAAATTTTAATGGGTATACGAAAATTTACTGTCGTCGGCAGTGTAATGGAATAAAGAACATATTTACGATTTAAATGCATTTCCAAAAATTACAATCACTAATTTTGGAACAAAGTGGCGTAATCATGGCTCTAATCCAAATAACTAACCTAATAAAAATTTAAGTTGAGTTAAAATTTTTAAAGCATAAGACAGAAAAAGTGAATTTGTTTACAACACTTTGTGTTAGCAAAACGTTATGCCAAAGTTGTAGGCGTAATATATTTGCTAGCTGAGATAAAAGAGGTAAATAATTAACTGGCTATAATTACCAATGAGCGGATTGCGTATATCTGACGAAAAGAAGTGAATAGTTACTTATCACAGTTTCCGTGATTGAAATTTTTCAAATCACAAGACATGAGGTACTCAATAATTTCGTCAACGAATGAATTCAAGAAGATTATATTCTTGAATACATATGATTTGATGAAAATTGATGATATCGTTTATTGCATCATCAAGAGTAAGTAAGATTTCGTACTTGAGTACCATATTTCCTCAGCTTTTAAGCTATTTTCAGTACCCAAACATAATAATAACCTTATTATCGTTACGCTGTAATACTACTGATGACTGCACGAATTTTAGATAACGTAATGCTAATAGCTATCACATAATACACATATCACGCAATTCAAGATACCAAATCAATATAGTCAGTAAATATTGAGTTTCTCTTAATTATACGAATTGAGATTGTCCATAAAATTTCAATAACAAAAATGTGTTAACTTGTTTCAGGTTTACTAAAAGAACAAGGATAAAAACTAATTCAATTAATAGATAATGCTTCTGCTCACAGCACAGGACCGGTGAAATTTTAAAATTCCCTTACTTAACAATATCGAATACTGTCAAGTATGATGACAATTTTAAAATTTCTTTATATATATCATATTTGTTTCTGTATTTTACCATTTTTCCTGTAGAAATTCCGAAATGAAGAACGATTAAAGAAAACAGTAAACAACAATAAGTAATGCTTCTGAAAAATGAAAAATACAAAATAGGAACATTTTAGGGAGTAAAAATTGCTCAAGGAAGCAGCAATCTTATCAGTATCTTTGACGTTTTTCCATAACAGTGACTAATGAAAGCACAATTGAGATTACAAATGTTGGTTTCTTTTACAGACGTAAAAATTTCGAGCAACTATAAAATTCTTCATCCTGCCAGTGTATTTTTGCAAAAATACATAGCAAATAAAATAGAGAGGCGA